TGACTTTGCTCTGCGTTCCGCACAGGCCTGTTTTTTTCTCTCCTTTTGACCGCATTTAGTCTCGTGCTGTAGCGAAGTTTAAGATAAGTGCTAACTTGCCGTCTCACTACATAAAATTTCAGCTCGTATTCTGCTTCACCACACTCGCTCAATCACTACGGCTGCTTGCACGGCACAATGTTGCGTTTTGTCAGAATCAAATTTCTAAGTTAACTAAGACTACACGATTCGCGCGTGTGTAGTCCGCAACAGGTACACGAGGCGCCATATATCGAACGGGGTACACAACACAAACAGTATGATAAGAATTCGAACAGCGAAGATAGCCAGAGATATGTAGGTGGTATGGTTCACAGAGACAACGTTATCATACAAGCGGGATAAACACTCCATCGAAAAATCACAGTTAAGTATATACCATTTTTTTGTGGGTGCCGAACACTTTCCTAGCTGTCTTCCAAAACCCAACACTTGAATGTCGAACGTATGTTTTCGTAAAACGCAACAGGCCACACTGACCGGCGGTGCCGTGTACACAGGTAACGTCTTAAACGCCCCCAGCGACGTAATTTGGGGTGCTCTTCAGTCCACACTGGTTGTTACACCCTTGAAACAGAGGCTGCTTCCCAGATACGTTTGTACAATTATCTTTTAAAGGATTAACTCTAAATACTGCGTGGAAGGGTGAAGTGAATTCACTGCTGGGATGTAGAGCTCATTGGAGTCTTGTTTCTCGCTCTGTCATCTACTTGTATTTGACGCTGTAAAAGACTCAATCAAGGTAATGAACCAACTAGACTCACACTAGAGCATGTCAACATTCTAAATGAAGGACAATTATCTGCATTCCAAAACATGGGTGTTTTTAAGCACGCAAAAGCGTTCGCCTCTCTTGGAACGTGTCCTTCGCTTGCTTCTACATGGATGTTACACATGTGTTCCAAGCGTTATGGACATAATGTATTTAGTGAATGCAGCACTGGGGTACTTTTTCAATGACGAAAAACCTTTTTCGTAGGAACCTAATAATAGAACAACTATGAGCATTAATATGAATGTACGATAGATAAATGTATACTGCGTGAAGTCTATGCATGTAGATTGAACATAAAATCACAGGAATATTTTTAATAGCTGACTGAAGATCCTATGCTTCTTTAATAGTTTTGTGGTAGCGTACACAAAGCGTGTGCGTCATATCCTAACGTCTCAAAACACGCACATTAAGTTAGGAAAATAGTACGTACAATTCAAGCAACGCAGAGGCTGTAGACCCTGTTGTAAAACTGCCTAGCAATAGAACACCAGAACTAATTAAAACTCTCAGTGATACACGTTCGATTTCAACAAGCCATATTAGTAATGCGTTCACAAGCATTCTACAGACTCACAGTTTTTCCACTATCACTGTGTACACGGTCACCTGATTGAAAGAAGATCCCCGGTACGTCCACGGTAAACAAGACACGGCTAACACGATATTCGCCCATCGAGAATGCGCAATGACACTGTTGTATGACGTGTTCATGACGTGACACATGCTTGCATTATATAATTGTGAACGTACTGTGTGAGGGTATTCAACAAGTTTCATAGAACAGTTACCCGTGTTAGTCAGTTGTGCAAGTTTACCAGCAGTCTGAAGGGAAATCCTTGATCGAAAAAAAAAGGAATAAGGCTCTGGTGAAGTCTACAGACACATTTTGGCAAACACACACAAAAGCACGCAATCAACGTTTCGGACTCCTCCATGCCACCTACGTAGCCAGAAAGCACAATGTCACAACGACAGAGAGGAAAAGAGAGTTCGATGTCTTGGTGTAAGTGCCACCAAAAAGTGGACTTCCACCGATACATAACGCTGTACGCAGTGGACAATAAGAATATTCCTACGTACGTATGCACACTAATATGGAGCAAAATGAGCCACAGCTTCGTGTGGCTCTGTGATACATTCTTTAGAGTATGGTATGTGTGTATACTTCCGAAATGTACAAGATATGTCGAGCTTGGAACAACTTCCATAAAAATGCTGTACACATATCGGTCAACTATATTACATGAATAAGCACGGACGCCCCACACCTCCCGTTCAATTCGCAACTTGCCAACACATCTGAACTACCCTTTCTTTCACAACATCACTGGAACACTCACTGGTTGAAAAATAGTCTTCTTACTTTCAGCAGTCCGCGCAACTCCGACAATTTAATACTTTATATATATATATATATATATATATATATATATATATATATATATATATATATATGTATATATATATATATATATAATATTAATGAGATCTAACAGACAGTAATGCCAAGGAATGTACAGGGGAAGTTATTAGAACCAATGGAATGTAAATAAGAAGAAAGAAGAAAGAAAAGTGGATTAAAAAAGTAACCAGCCGTGAGCAGGCTGGTCACGGCTGGTTATTTTTTCATCCACTTTTCTTTCTTCTTATTTACATTCCATTGGTTCTAATAACTTCTCCTGTACATTCCTTGGCATTACTGTCTGTTAGATCTCATTATATATATATATATATATATATATATATATATATATATATATATATATATATATATATATATATATATATATATATATATATATATATATATATATATATATGAAGCAACCGCAAGATGAAAGTTAAGGAAACAAACAAGTAATGCTGTTTCTGGATGTTTCTGGACTTCCTTAATTGAAAACACTGCAAATAATGTAGAAATGGGCGTGCGAAAAGAAACACCTAGAACCAAGCCTTAACGATCAATGTGACTGCAGTCCAATTTTGAGTTTGTTGTGGAGGAGGAGGAGGAGGAAAGAAATCAGCGAAAGGGCAGGGAGGTTAGCCAGGTCTTAGACCGGCAGGCTACCAGGTGCTAAAAATGAAAATGAAAAGGGGAATGAAAATGACAGAAAAGAGATGTTACAGTGAGAGAGAGAAAAGAGGAAAATTAGCAAAAGAGGGAAATAAAAAAAAAAGAAAACACGACACTAAAGTTTGTCTCTAAAGTGCGCTATTTCGAGGAGCGAATCACACAGGCTCAAGTTTTCACGCTTCGTAACTGGCACAAACTTGCGCACGGGGGTGTCATATAGAAGCTGCGCGTTGCCTACGGCTTTCACGTTGAATGACGGTGCATAATTATTTTTGTCGGTGATCTTTAGCCCCTTGGCTATTACTTTGGTTTGTCTGTATTTTTTAATGCCCTATTGATATGTTGACTTCCACTGAGAATGGGACATGCACTGTACCTCTCTCAGTGGTAGACGTCAGGCCTGCTCCTTGCATCATTCTCGTGTGTATATCTTTATGTGTAAATAATAATAATAATAATAATAATAATAATAATAATAATAATAATAATAATAATAATAATAATAATAATAATAATAATAATAATAATAATAATAATAATAATAATAATAATAATAATATAAAATGCTGAAAAAGGATTATAATAAGAAAACAATAATAAACAGAAGCTTTGCGGCGCACTTCCAGAGAGGACACGTGCAACAGACGTGCCGACGGCAAACCTTGTCAGGACCCGGACGGTACAACAACGCAACATTCATGAAACAGTGCGGCGAAATAACAATAATACTCGGCTGTGAGATAGCATTCGCACAGAAATCATCATAGGAGTGACACCCTGTATCGCCACTTGTAACACCATTTCCTTTTGGCATGCAGTCTTACTCGTACACCAGTGTAGCGATTCGTGAAGGAGTTTGAACGATTCGCCGACGCAGCTTGAGCTGCAATTTGCTGATCTTACACAACACTCGTCTTCTCCTTTTATCGCAGCATACATAACACGTATGTAGAACAATGATCACGTGACATGCAGGTGTTGCATTAACAGCCCCGCTGCTCACGCTGGCGACTACGGTGGTGCGTAAAAAGAGTACACGAAGCAAACGTTTCGCTTGGTTCATTCGAAGCAATAACTATCCAGAATCACTACACCGGAGCTCGATTACGTCGGTTATTATCTCATTTTAACATTCGGAAATAGCGTGCGTTCTCTTGTCATATGAGGACCAGCTGACGATTCGACCGATTCCGCCTCCTTCACAATGCCACGGCACATGCACCCTTCACCCCGGCGGTAAAGTCGTGAAACACTTGTTGATCTCAGAGGCTTTCCTTGTGGCAATATTGGCTATCCCTGACCCCGCCAAAACCCTACCAAAATGGCAGACGACCGCCAGGCAAACTTAAAGGCGGATTGACACAATATGCCTGCACGTGAGACGTCCATATTGATATAACTCGGGGGTCTCAAACATGTGACCCGAAGGCTTGCCCATAACCATCTTGATTCTACTTGTTTGTTTTGCTTTTTTATAAGCATGTTTATGATCTACGTGTACGTGAATAGTCTCAAGGTTCTTTTTTTTAAGGGAATGTAGTTACCATGTGCTTGAAGATAACCATGAAACAAAAGCTTTGTATTTAAACATCCGCGTGGATACTTTCAGCTATCTTGGAAGTCGGTACCGATATGTTTTGTGAATCCTAATGTGAAGTCTCGTTTATGAAATGACTCTTAAATGATATACGGGAAATGTCATGATTCATATGGCAACGTTATCAGATGTTTTGTTGACATATTATTCTAACACGTATAAACGAGAACACAAGAAAGGCACATGAAAAAACCCAAACACACCACGCTTCTCACAATTGGCCTGCTTGCGAATGCTCAACGATATCCTTCTTTAAGATAGCATACCGACTAGGTCCGGCTACAGAACTAATCGGATGCCCTTGGCAGCGTTGTTCCAGCTTGGTCAATCCACGTTCATCTCTTTCCAGGAACATTTCAAAACCATGTTAAGATGCGAAGTGAAATCGATGCTTTTCGCAATCCTATACACTTCTGCCCGCGTGTTCAACCTTATCGGCAAGCCTGTTCACCAACGGCTGTAGAGCGACCGGCCGCGGCTCTGGCTTTGGCTTATTTCATGTGATAAACACGTCACGAGACGGTGCAGTCGTCCACGCCGTGTTCCTTCAGCTTGGATGCTTTCTTGCTCGTCCTGCGGATGAGCGAGCGGCTCCTGGGCTTGGCTTTGGCTATGGCTTGCTCCTCGGGGACGGCAGACGAAGGCGACGCCTGTGACGAGAACAGCACCGTAAAAGATGGCAGCGTTAGGAACAGGAGGGTTAATATTGCTTACCGTCTTCACGATGATGAAAAATAACAATTCGGTTCTGTGTGATGATATATGCCTTTTCCTGTCAAACAACTTCAGCGTGCACGATCGGACGACGACGACGACGACAAGCGAACGTTTGAAAGAGCGAATTAAACGTTTGTTATGCGTTCGGTGAGGACATCGGTAAGAGGGACACTTTGTCCGATATACCATTGGCGTGGGCAGCTGTCCTTGAACGTTTAGAGAAATAAGGAACATCTGGGGTCACCGGTTGTTGAACTAAACTGAAGATCTCCAGCCTAATTAAAGCTAAGTTTAGCTGTGAAGGACTAAACCTCAAATGTATACATGTTGTTGGCCTGACCTCTTTCTGAGGCCCATGATATGGTTGGCTTGTCAGGTAAAGTAATAACAAACTTAACTCTTTAACTTGAACCATGTCGTCCTCATGAAATCGCAATCGTTAACATATGGCCTACTACCTTTATCTTTAGCCCTTGATCCTGCACTGAGCTCTGTAATGTGCTTACTGTAAATAAAGTACTTACTCCTATGATTACTAATAAGACCGGTGTTTTACAAACGGAAGATATTATTATGAGGCTCACCGTATACCGTAGGGCTCAAGAAATTGCGGCCATCTGGTGTTCCGTGCACTGACATCGCACAATACAATGGTGTACAGCATGTCGCCGCTTTCTAAAATGTCACCGCCGCATTTTAGTTTGAACCCGCGACATTCGAATCCGCACGATGACCGCGATACACCGACGCTGTGCTTTTGCGCCGTGTACATGGCTGATGTAGGTGAAGCGCCCACCTGTAGCGAGGACGAGAAAGAAGCCAGTCCCCTAGCGCGTGGACCCGAGACCCGGGCGCTGCATCTTCGCTGCAGGCCGCCTATAGCCGTGACCGCCGCGCCGGCGTGCGTCAGTTGGTGGGGCGGGGCTTCGGAAGCCGAGTGGTGCGGTATGCGGGCCAGGTGCAGGTATCCCCGGAAGAGTTCCCGGATGTTGGTGTTCTCCTTGGCCGAACACTCGACGAACTTTGCACGCAGCCGAGGCAGGTCGCAGAACAGCCACTCGGCGACGTCTTCCTTGCTCACTTGGCGCCGGTCGGCGGGCAGGTCAATCTTGTTGCCAGCCACAATGATGGGGACCTCCTGGGAATATGAATCCAGAAGGTGTGGCAGTGATCCAGTGGTTAGATCTCTGTTGGTGTTGCCCTAAATTACCTCTAATTACCTGAATGAAAGCGAACAGATAATGAAACCAAGGAACGTATGAGGACGTTAATTGCACTGTTTTACAGCGAAAGCTGTTATGAGATCAAAACACTGGTCACGCGTGGCGCCGTTGTTGTCCGCCGCCACCGGTGTCCGTAACCAGTATCGCAAAAGAAGGAAAATGACTGATTAAATAAAAAAAAAAACACCTAGCAGACATTGAGATCCAAACCCGTGTACCGCTGTGTGCCAGCCCAGTATTCTACCACTGAGCCATGCCGGTGCTTGGAGATCACTTGTAAACTGGCCGTAGGCAGGCTTGATGTCGGGGAAAGAATCGCTTCAATATGAGTAACTTCATCTGGCCCCCTAACTTTCCATTTTTCCTCGCCCGCTTGCCTTCTCTGAAAGTCCATCGGTTACCTTTAAGGGCCAGCGGTTATCCAGCCTATACGCGCTACGTGCCCGGCCCATGTTCAGTTCTTCTTGATTTCAACTATGATATTCCTAACCTTGGTTTTTTCCCTGACCCACTCTGCTCTCTTCTTGTCTCTAAAGGTTACCCATCATTTTCTTTCCATCCCCACTCAATTCGTCGTGCTGAATTTAAGCTGAACACTCTTTGTAAGCCTCCAGGTTTCTGGGGTGTAGCGAGTAGATTTATCATTAGGCTTATTTCGCAATTACTATCAGTGCTTCACCTTTCTGGCTATAGTGGTCTTTCTTATTATTGTTTGTTCATTGCTTTTGCATCTCACTCCTTGGCCAGATCAACGAGGCTATACTCGCCCCACCGCGGTGGTCTAGTGGCTAAGGTACTCGGCTGCTGACCCGCAGGTCGCGGGATCAAATCCCGGCTGCGGCGGCTGCATTTTCGATGGTGTCAAAAATGCTGTAGGCTCGTGTGCTCAGACTTCGGTACACGTTGAAAAACCCCAGGTGGTCTAAATTTCCGGAGCCCTTCACTACGGCGTCTCTCATAATCATATGGTAGTTGTGGGACGTTAAACCCCACATATCAGTGAAATGAACGAACATATACGCATTCTCTCAAGATCACGACATATACGCTGAGCTGGTTGTTCGAATGAGCTGAACTGAATCCGTCCAGTAACGACATCATCCTAGCTTCTGTGGCAGTGCACAGATTTAGCGAAATAGATTGGCACCTGATGAGACGGCGCGGTGTCACGGACATCAAGGCAACCAGGCGACACTCGGTAAACTGGAGCTGTCTTGTTGACCGAGCGTCTCGCCGAAGGATCTCATTATGCGCTGGCTTCACGCGGCACCACCGGCGGTTCGAGACCGAAGAATAATCCGGGGCTTTGGGAGCCATCGGTCGTTCTATACCGAGATTGGATCAGAGCTGCCTTTCGTACGCTGCTTTTCGCTTCCTCGAAAACGAGCTGCCCTCCACATAAAGAAGAAGTCCACGCGTGCGTTGCACGGTTGGCTAAGAGTGATGCGAGGTTTGAAGTCACGCCAAAAGTTTGCCCTGAGTCAGGTTTTAGGCATGAATGATCTGCCCGGACTTCAAGATTGATAGTAGAAAAAAGAAAAAAAAATGGCTAAGCCACCCAGACTGCCTGCTTAAAAACCGTAATCTTGAATTTTTAAATCTGGGAACTTATACCCTTCTAAGCCTCTTGGGGTATTCCTTGGTCGTGCGTATATTTAGTTTTAAGCTCACGTATTCCAGCTCCGCCACTTCTTAATTTTTTGTGAAGCCTTCCCTATGTATTAATAATGAATGTCCTGTGTGAATTTGCATTTGTTGGGTGTGTTTTTTTAATCTCTCTTCTTTCTCTCCTCTACAAGTTGGTGGGTGTGGTGCCTTTTTTGGAAGACAACCACCAGCCTGCTTTCTTAACAGCGCAGCTTTTTAAGCCACCCGAGATCTATCCAGCCCAAACGAAAATCCTCGGGCGGATGTGGGTCACAGTAATTGACTGATATCATCAGATTATCTTGCACGCGCGCGTTTCCGACAGCGGTACTGCCGTCATCTTGGTTGGAGTACTCTGAGCGCTGCTGGTGGGGCTGCTTGCGGCGTGCTCCAAGCCGTGGCCTCGTGGAGCTCCAAGTGCTCCACGAGGCCACGGAGCACGCAGCCGTGGCCTCGTGGTAGAGTGTCCGCTTCGGCTGCGGGAGGTCGTGGGTTCGAATCCCGCTGCCGCCGGATACCCACCGGTTTCTGCGAAATGGGCACAAGCCTTCCCCCGGCCTGACACTCGGCTTTGTTCAGGGGTGAGCCGCTTGGGGAGGGAAGCCTACGCCATATTCGTGTTGGACAGAAATCATCGGCGCATGAGAACGCGGTAAAAAGATGTGTGCTGACCTCAAACGAGTGTTGTTTTACTTCATGTCACACAGCATGTCTTAGTGTTAAGAAAAAAAAAAGGAAAACAAAAACAGTCGACACTGCTTACATCAGGCCAGGCCGTCTAGCTTATGTTGATGCGCTTGCAACGCTTCGCTGAATTCTTATTAGTTATGAAAAGCGACGAAGCACGTTCGTGTTGTCATGAGAACAAACTCTTTTAGTAAACGTCAGCAGGCGAGCGACACAAGTTACAGTATGCGGAAAATGACATCCTAGAACTGCGTAGAGCACTCCGCGACAAAGACAATGGGAAAGAAAATATGGTGAGTGGCCGCATGCCGTTTGCAAAAGATTAACGTCGCGGAAATTGTAGTAACGGCAAACATTTCCGCTGCACAAGGAATATATGTGACGTATCAAGTGATGGTTAGGAGAAGTAGAGAAGGAAGAAGTGAGAACAGAATAAACATGGGGTATGAGCCAGGCCACGTCTCCTAGTCATCATAGCGTCGCACGAGTCGACAGGATGGAGACCTGCCTGCCCCTTCATCAGTCGCTCATCATCGACGCAGTTCCCCACAAGACGCCCTGACCATATATCCACTACCGATTCATCTTCAACCAGGACACGTTGCCCATTCATCATAGCGTCACATATATGAGCCAGTGACAGGTTTTGCTGAGACACACTATGCGGTGCATGAGCAGCACAGTCCACTGCGGCAACCGGCGGTGGTCTCAGCTAGCGGCCAGCTGGGCGCCGATATCGTCGCTAGGTCTATGGCTTCGAAACAACAAGGCGCGTTATGTTAAAGGAGCCCTGAAACACTTATTCAAGAAACCATGGAATGAATTTGCTGGAAAAGCTTATCGCCTCGCGAATTCAAAGTCGCAAAATTTTTAAGAATCCGTCCGGTGCGAGTGGAGTTATACCTCTGTCACACGGGCACCCGCGAAGACCGTTTAACTCCCTCGTCCTTACGACAACAAAGATGCGGTCCGTGTCACACGGCCACCCTTACGCAAACGATGGTAAACGGAGCGTTTCGCAAAGGACGTTCAACGATCTCCCTTCGCAGCGAAACGAGGTACTCTCGTCCCTAGGAGCCTAAAGGTCAGAGAAAAATTTCGAGCACTAAGTGGCCGCAGTGAAAGAATAATACATTTTGGCACTCTTAAACGTTCTTTCATTGTAGTACTCATTCAGAACGCGTGTTTGTTTACATATATTTACGCCCGCCAGAGTTCACTTCCTCTCAACACCGATGCTCTACACTCCGTGCCTCGCACGTGGTGCCTCGCGAGTCAGGCCAGCCGCCGCCATTAAAAATATTTCGTCCATGCGTGTGGTTGTGGTCGTGGCTGTGTAACCCATGGCTGAAGAACACAAAATGTGAGCTCACGAGGCAAGGAAGCACAAGAACTTTCGCACACGGGCATGAACACAGGCAACAAAACAACTAAAAGCACAATGTGGCCAGCGTCACAAACAGCATCGCTACAATTAGCAAATTTGTTTTTATTTGAAAATAATTTTATGGTTTGTTAGCCTCTTACCTCCTTAATAGCGTTTTTTTGTAAAACCCCCATAACGAGGATTCACAAAAAAATCAATACAGATGAAATTAGAATACTTTTCCGAAAATCAAACAGCGCCAGCTGAGCCCCCTCGCGCCAACTGTTACAACTTTTTCATTGCCGTGTGACACTGCCACAACTCCTTCGCCGTCAAACCATTTAGGGGAGATTTACGTTGACGGTGTTCAACGGAGTTTAGTGGTGGCCGCGTGACAGGGGTATTACAAAGGTTTGTCGCATGCTGAAATTGCATTCTCTCTTCTCTCGTCCCGACGAAAGCGCTGGAAGCTAAGCAGGGAGGAATGGCAGGGCCACAAAAAAACGTCATGCGCGCCTCGTGACCTTGAGCACTTTTTTTCTTTTCTTTTCTTCAAATGCGCGGCTTTCTTTAGTGTTATCGCACGTGCACGCGTGGACAAGTAGAGGCCTCCCACGGCGGTCTCTGTAACGAGCGAGTGCACCATGCTCAAATAATGGTTGATAGATGAGCTTGCTACGCGTGATTTTTGGGGCATATTCCGTGATTTCTCGAGAAAATAGAAAGTAATCTTTAGCGGACTTTGGTAATTCATGGTGAATTCCAGGCCGCGTCCTGCACTATAATACTGGGCTCACGTGTTGTCGGGAGCGTCTACTACCGATGGGTAGCGTTTTCTGACCATGCTCAAAAAGTGTTGCAGGGCTTCTTTAAGAGCCACCTACACCCATATAAAGCTTGGATATGCTACCACTGTTTGCACTTTACCTTCATAATAATACCACATATTTAAAAGAATGGGGGAATCTGGTCGTGTGCGACTGTAGCAGGACGCATCAACGCGCTGTCTTCTGTGGTCTCACGTTTAGTGAGGCTGTCGCTGATTGTTCAGAAAGAACTACGCAGCTTTTTTTTTTTTTTTGAACGATGAGCGACGCAGCTGGTGGAAGTGCACTGCTGCTTAACGAGCTGAACGCCGCCAGTATCCAGAGGTGCGCGCCAGCGAAGTAAAAGCATTTGCGTACGCTATTTACAAAATCCAAGCCCTTAATACTGCTCTCCGAGTTCTCATTGGGCATCGTAGCCATCGTTGAACTTTCTTGTTCGTGTGCAGGCTTTGTAGAGGACAGAGAGACTGACGTGTGCTCGGTAACGGTTTATTGGCGGAACGCCTCTTCTTCCTTCTTCTCTTCTAGTGGTTGCCCCGCCGCGGTGGTCTAGTGGCTAAGGTACTCGGCTGCTGACCCGTAGGGCGCGGGTTCGAATCCCGGCTGCGGCGGCTGCATTTCCGATGGAGGCGGAAATGTTGTAGGCCCGTGTGCTCAGATTTGGGTGCACGTTAAAGAACCCCAGGTGGTCTAAATTTCCGGAGCCCTCCACTACGGCGTCTCTCATAATCATATAGTGGTTTTGGGACGTTAAACCCCACATATCAATCAATCTCTTCTAGTGGTTCTGACCCAGCATGCGTCGCACGCACACTGCGCCACATCGTCTTATTCAGTTTTTATCAGGCTTTATATTTAAATCTCTAGCTCACTCCACAGTCGCATAGTTTCTGAGTAGCACAATGTTTTCCTACCTGATAATCTGGCTTGTGCTCCCTAACTTCCTGGAAGCACTGCTTGACGAGCTCGAACGATGCCATTGAGTCGACGCTGTAGACGAGCAGGAAGGCATGGCCGTTGGCGATCGACAGCCGGCGCATCGCCGGGAACTGGTGGTCACCCGCGGTGTCAAGGATGTCCACCTGCGCATGCGCATCAGTCGTTCCTTGTCACGTGACACGTACGACATTCGTTGCTGTTACGCGGTCAGGTAGAGTTTCAGAAACAGAAGTGACTACTCTTAAGCCAGCATTTTTATATCAGCTCCCCTCTCACCAGTTACGTAGCTCATTTAATAAAAATTTTGGATCTCTCTTTCGCATTCATTTCAGACGCCTATAAGGTGGAATCAATCTTCTTCTTATCAATATATGCGTTTATTCTGTCCCGTCCTGTTTCGAAAGGTGTCCGTTGGTTCCTGCATAGATTTACTAAATTGGCCCCACCGCTGTGGTGTAGTGGCTAAAGTACTCGGCTCCTGACCCGTAGGTCGCGGTATCAAATCCCGGCTGCGGCGGCTGCATTTCCGATGGAGGCGGGAATGTTGTCGGCCCATGTGCTCGAATTTGGGTGCACGTTAAAAAACCCCAGGTGGTCAAAATTTCCGGAGCCCTCCACCAAGGCGTCTCTCATAATCATATGGTGGTTTTGGGACGTTAAATGCCACAAATCATTTTTTAAATTGAACTAGAGGGAACTCTGGCGCTGCGATCGTTCAGCAAGCATGAAAGTTATGGGTAGTACATGGATTTTTCTAGTCTCCATGTACTTGCGGGTTTCAAATCGCACTTGTGGCTTTGTCTGTTGCTGTGTTTCGGTTTCGTTTCGAATAAGAGAACAAACCGTTTTGAACTTGTGACTGGTTTTATATTGGTAAAACTAAAAAAAAATCAAGGTGGTGATGCGTAGCTGATAAACAACTGCTGATTGTCGTTTCGTCACAAAACAACTTCAAGCTAAGCTAAGCGAAGCCAGCAGTAACGCAAAGTACGAAGACTAAATTAATCCGTGTACTACCCATCATTCCCATGCTCGATGAAGCGCCATACGCTGCGGCTCCCATAGACACTAGCGCCAGAGTTCCCTTTGGTGTACTTATAGGAAACTCTATGGGTTCAAGTACTGCCTCAGTGATCAGACCATTTATGACGAAGCAGCATCGCGAGCAGGACTAGTTTGTGGGCGTACATTGGAATAACTAACAACACAGCAATGTTAAAATACGCGGAGAAAGAGGATGGGGACACGTCACTGCGTACACTTCTTCTTGCTGCGTCTATTTTAACCTTTTTGCACTCTTAGGTATACGTTGACTACGTAATGGTGTCAAACGTTGACGCTATCATGATGTCAGAAATTTGGACCGTCTATGAGGCCGTCACCGGACAATGATTCCTTGCAGTACTCGTGCTGATGCCACCAATGGTCAAGTTAAGCATTTTACGCGGCATGAATCAAAATCAGAATTTACTATTGAAAATTGGGTGCAATAACAGGCGTATAGTATAGAGGAGGAGTTCCCATACCCTAAAGACTGTATCGGGACTTCCCGTACAAAATCAATGTGTTAGTAAACATTTAATAGCAACAGTAGTAAAAGGTATCAATAAAACGAAAAATATAGTACAAACATGCACAAATGAGCGCAAGAAATAGTGTAATCCTAACATATGAAATGAAAGCGAAAGGTATAAGAAAAGAAGGAAAAAAAAGCGATACAGCAGTTGAATAATCTTTCATATAAAAAAACACTGAACAAGAGCACACATTAAACGAAACAAAAATTAACTCTCATGGTTAGTCCACCTGGATCATATACATTTTCAGCTGTTTATTTAAATGGATGAAATGAGCTGGTAGATTTTATGTTAAGTGGAAGAGTGTTCCATATTGAGATGGAAGTGAATCTTACAGTTTGTTTACCATATTTAGCACGAATATTGGATAAAATAAAGTTGTTCTTTAATGCGAATTGGGTATTATTATAAATCATAAAATTGTAAGATATAAATATTGTCAGGTGAAGTTCGTTATTAATAAGTCTGTAGAAAGAAGTGCCTAGGTTGCATTAAGTGAGTTCAGTAAGAGTAAGTTTGTAATTCTTGTGTAGTCGAAGTTTATCATTGAAAAGATGTGATCTGGATGTAAATATTCTAATAGCATGCTTTGGACAACCTGGAGTGACGAAATGTGAGTATTATAAGTATGTTTTTAACATATTATACCATGAGTAACCTGAGAATGAACAAAGTAATGATTAAGAGACAGTAATGTGATCCGTAAAAAGTAAGGGCGCGTTTTAATCAAGACTCATATAACATATGCTATTCTCTTATGTCAACTATATGCCTCTGATATTTTAAGTTACTATGTAGAAGGACGCCAAGGAAGGAAGAGCTTAAGCTAGGAGAGCTGAAGTGGGGGCCAAAAGTGAAATTTGGTACTGAGGTTACATTCCGCTCGTGTGAAGTGAAAACGACAAACTTGGTTTCAAAAGCGCTAATAGACAACATAAATAAATAGGTGCTTTGACGTTAATAATTCCATGTGTGTGATTCAAACAGAAATATATGGCAAATATTTCGAAAAGAATGTGGACTCTAATTCCGGGCTACACAATGCAGAATCACTAGAATGGCCCAAGGAGCGCTTGATTTGAGAAGGAGGGAACCGGCGTTCACAAACACGTTCAACGCGTTCACAAAAGGTTTAACATTAGCTCTCACCTAAATGAAAGAAGAAACTTGGCAGTCAGCTCACGGTAACACAAAGTCACAAGAGAATAAACTCACGAAAAAAAATGCTTACCAAGAAATTGATCGTGCACCATGGAATAGGACGAAGTTTTCGTAAAGCAGAAAACTCTTTAGTCAGGCAACTGCGTTTGCGCAGCAACTACCTATGTGCTGCCTTGCGTTGTTTTCTGGCGTTGCAGTGCACGCACACTTGATCCCCTGATGCGAGCGAACGAGCTTGTTGGCAGGTAATTGATTGACAGGTGGCGTTTAACGTCCCAAAACCGCCATTGTTGGCAGGTAAAGGAAGACGCATATGCGCAGTGCTTGCTCTTGAGCTATGTAAGAAGCCATAAGAAGATGCAGTGGAACATTTTCGTTGTGTCACGATTTCAGCTGCAAAGCTTTTGGCGTATGTTGCAAGTGCACCGTTTGACTAATGAATTAACCTTACTTCCCCAATCTTTGTTGTTAGTCTTCCTTTTCTCTCGCGCACGCCGTTAGCGAGCCATATGGTGCAATAAATTTCCGCACTTATAACGGCACGTAAAAGGTCATCAATTAACAAAAATAGGCTTCGCGACATGTAAGGCAAATGCATGATGTTGCCACCGCCTCCGATTGTGACGTCATATTTTATTTTTTGTCTGCTGTTAGTCGTCCACTCCATACGAAGATGGTAACAGTGACAAAGAGCCACCAACTACTGAACACATGGGCTTCTGTGGAATTTGCACTACCAGTTTGCATATACCTTGGCAGCACTTTTGCGGCTCACGTCCCAGGCATAGTACTCTTTAGGAGGCGTTGGCTCAGAAGTTCACGCAACAAAGACTCCCATTTTTAATGGCCCAAGCTCCGTCTTTTTCAACGTCAGCATATACAACGTGGAAATATGAGAATAACTGAAATAGAAGAACGAATGCCCCCGGTACCTTGAGCGTCATGGACTCGAGGTCGTACTCCTTGCAGAAGAGGTCCTCCACGGTGGGCTTGTAGCGGTCAGAGTACGTGTTGAACAAGAAGCGCTTGACGATGGAGCTCTTGCCGACGCCTCCGCCACCCAGCGTCACCAGGCGGATGCGGTACTCGCTCTCTTCGGTCATCGCCGTCCGCACCACGTCGGAGCGCCAACACTGACCAGCCGGAGTCGACGTCCTCGCCTAACCTGCGGGCAGAGATGTTGTTTGAAACAGTGGAACAGTTTAAGCTGGCCGTAATATGTCCATCGCGAGCGAAAAACCCCGTGAAGAGACGACGTCACTTCGCGTTACCCAGCAGACATACCTGCGAAGGCGCGCAACTTCACACTCTATCCGATCCAAGCACGTCTCTGCTCCAAGCTGTGCCCTATACTGCGCACGCAGTGGGAAATTATTGTGGCGCAACTGCTCTCGACTTCCCTTGCCACCAGTACACACTGCTCGCACTCATGTCACCACGACTCCGCCATAAATTGCGCAATACAGCGAATGTGCATGCTCCTCATGCCAGGACTAAAATGTGACAGAGGAGCTTGCTAGAAAGGAAAATGCGATGTCTAGCCGAGATAGTCGCTGTATAGGGTGATGCTTGATTTAAAGGGTTGGTGGTGATGCTTTGTGGGAAGGGTAGGAGCACCTAAGTGGCAAGAGTGATGTTCTGTAGAGAGGTTGACGCAACGACAAAGGCGGGGGCGATACTTGGCAGTAGGGGCTTCAGAAGGCAGCTGTAAGCAAGAGTCAGGCGCAGCAGTCTTCTAAATTTTTGTGACGTTTGACTTTAGCAGGGAGGTGAAGACTATTCGCACTCACGTGCGAGACGCTACCCGACGGGATACAACGCAGAAATTCTTAGAAAACACAGAAATACTTCAAACGGCTAGTGAAAACATAAAAATTTCATAGCCTGACCAGGGATGGGAGAGAAATAAGCTTCGCTCTTTCAACGGCGTTCAGGCAGGTGAGTTGGCTGCACTTTATTGTCACTCGTGAAGTCTGTATTGTCACGGGCTCATGGCGTGACGAATGGAGTAGACTGGATGATCAGGTAAAACTCTTTATTTGTTTGAACCTGTGACCAGGAAACGGACAGTGAGATTACAGCAGCCACTTTCCAATTTTCGCAGTTTTTGATGCTCGTTTCACTAAAGTTGGCACCCCGTATTTTACTGCAACTACGGTAAAAAAACAGCTAAGTTCCTCACTGTTCATTTTTAGAACAGTTTACCTGTTGAACTTAACTCTGGTGCCCACATCTTCACTTTTCAAAAGATCAATAAAATCTTTCTTTTTAACTCCTGATTGCTCACCTTAGTCATTGTATACATTTATTTAACTTGTCTAGATTTCTTTTATTTGTGTTTATTTTTGTTTCGTGTGTAAATTCTGTTATTTTCACTTCTTTTGTGCACTTTTTCTGCTTTCATTCCGTGTTAGTTCTGCGTGTTTGTTCTACTTTGCATTGCATTGCTTTGTATATTGTATTTTGCATGGATTGTACCTTTTATTTTATTGTATTTTAATATTTAATTTTTTAATTCAACTGTTCTAGAATGTTGCTGCTTGCTTGCCTTGTATATATATATATATATTATTACCACTAGCTGATTTTCTGCCATTTGTTTTCAATTCGATTTTGTTGTACATTTAAGCTAAGGTTCACGTTTGCAGTATTGATACTCTGAAACCATCATCTATATACAAGTGTTATGTAATTGATCCTCATATAAATAACAAACTCAAACTGAAGCTGATAGCAGGGAACAAAGCATGCATCGGTCGTCGCTCAACTGACACACGGCGAAGCGCGTCAGCATTTATACATCATCATTATTTTCATCATCATCATAGTCATCATCATCAGCAGCATAATCATCATCATCATCATCATCAGTCTGACTATGTCTACTGCAGGACAAAGGCATCTCCCATGTTCCGCCAGTCAACTCGGTCCTGGCGGAACATGGCAGAGGCGTTTGTCCTGCAGTGGACGTAGTGCTCGGTGGCTCAGTGCCTAATGGCGTTTATACATGTGCCACCAAATCATCATCATCAGCAGCAGCAGCCTGACTAAGTCCACTGCAGGACAAAGGCCTCTCCCATGTTCTGACAGTTAACCTGGTCCTGTGCTTGCTGCTGCCAATTTATACCTGCAACCTTCTTAATCTCATCTGCCCACCTAACCTTCTGTCTCCCCCTAACTCAATTGCCTTGTCTGGGAATCCAGTGAGCTACCCTTAATGACAAGCGGTTATCCTGTCTACGCGCTACATGTCCAGCCCCATGTCCATTTTCTCTTCTTGATTTCAACTACGATATCCTTAACCATCGTTTGTTCCCTAATCCACTCTGCTCTCTTCTTGTCTCTTAAGGTTACACATACCATTTTTCTTTCCATCGATCGCTGCGTCGTCCTCAACTTAAGCTGAACCCTCTTTGTAAGTCTCCAGATTTCTGCTCCGTAGCTAAGTACCGGAAAGATACAGCTGTTATATACCTTCCTCTTGAGGAATAGTGGCAATCTACCTGTCATAATTTGAGAGTGCTTGCCAAATGTGCTCCACCCCATTCTTATTCTTCTAGTTACTTCAATCTCGTGGTTCGGCTACGCGGTTATTACCTGTCCTAAGTAGACATAGTCTTTTACGACTTGAAGTGCACTGTTACCTATCTCGAAGCGCTGCTCTCTTCCAAGGTTGTTGTACATTACTTTCGTTTTCTGCAGATTAATTTTAAGACCCACCTTTCTGCTCTCCTTCTCTAACTCTGTAATCATGAGTGCAATTCATCCCCCGAGTTACTCAGCAATGCAATGTCATCGGCGAAGCGCAGGTTACTAAGGTACTCTCCATTAACTTTTATCCCTAACTGTTCTCATTATAGGCTTCTGAAAACCTCCTGTGCGCACGCGGTAAATAGCATTGGGGAGATTGTGTCCCCCTGCCTTACACCCTTTTTGATTGGTATTATGTTGCTTTTTTTATGAAGCACTCTGGTAGCAGTTGATTCCTGCAGATTTCTTCCAGGATGTTTATATATACTTCATCGACTCCCTGATTCAGCAGTGTCTGCATGACAGCTGATATTTCTACTGAATCAAACGCCTTCTCGTAATCTATGAAGGCTATGTATAGTGGTTGGTTATATTCTGAGCATTTCTCTATTACCTGCTTGATAGTATGAATGTGGTCGATTGTTGAGTAGCCTTTTCGAAATCCGGCTTGTTCCTTTGGTTGATTGAATTCTAATGTTTTCTTTACTCTGTTAGGAATTACCTTTGTAAATAGCTTGTATACTACAGAGAGCAAGCTGATCGGCCTGTGATTCTTCAGGTCTTTGTCATCTCCTTTCTTATGTATCAAGATGATGTTAGCCTTCTTCTAAGACTGGTACTCTTCCTTTCAGGAGACACCTCGTAAACAGCGTGGCTAATTTTTCTAACACAATCTGTCCTCCATATTTCAGCAGATCTGATGTTACCTGATCCTCACCAGCAGCTTTGCCTGTTTGCATGCTCTCCAAAGCTTTTCTGACTTCTTCTATCATTGCTGGTAGGGTGTCATCTGGGTTACAGCTAGTTCCTATAGTATTAAGGTCGTGGTTGTCCCGGCTACTGTACAGATCTCTGTAAAACTCCTCCGCAATTTTAAGTATCCTGTCCATATTAGTAGATATTTTGCCTTCTTTGTCCCTTAGTGCATACATTCAATTTTTGCCTATCCCAAGTTTCCTCTTCACTGCTTTGACGCTTCCTCCGTTTTTCAGAGCGTGTTGAATTCTCTCCATGTTATACCTTCTTACATCGCACACCTTACGCATATTAATCAACTTCGAGAGCTCTGCCAGTTCTATTTCGTCTGTTGTACTTGAGACTTTCATCATTTGACGCTTAATAATGAGATTCTTCGTTTCCTCGGAAAGCTTCCACCAAATATTCTAGCCTTATCACTTGTCGTCGCGCGAGCTCTGGAATAATGTCGAGTGTTCGCGTCTTGCGCGCAATCTTAGCAGAACAATCTACAATAATTGCTAACCTTCTCGAACAATGAAGCGCAGTTTGCGCTTAGCATTTCCGACTGGCCTTGTGGGCGAAAGCTGAATCAAACAAAAGCGAAAATATGAAACGCGCGTGCCAGTATGTACTGAGAAAGACAAAGAAGGCAAACACATCCGAAATCTTACACCACGCTCCTGCAATGAGGTCAATTGATATGTGATATTTAACGTCTTAAAATAACCCTATAATTATAAGAGACGCCGTTCTGGAGGGCTCCGGCAAACTCGACCGCCTGGGGTTCTTTAATGACCTACAATCAGTAGAGTGCATGCACGAATATGTTGTGCCAGTCTCCGATTGGCTGAGATGCTAAACCTTGGGACGTAACGTTCGGGTCAACATACTGGCACGCAGATGCTCTTATTAATACCCCATGTAGCCAAAAGCACGTGAGACAAGAGCCTGAAGGGCAGGAACATGCTTACGAGATTATGCGCTGCCATTATCGATCGCGCTAAGTCTATATATAAAACACCACACAGGTGGCGCTCACGTCGAGATAAAAATAGAAGAGGCTGTTGCATCGCGAGCTTCGATAGCGATCGCTTTTGTGCGTTGCGAAATTAGAAGATAATGACGACGGAGGTAGGGTGTGTGTTTTGGAGGCTGAAGCAGGCTACGGCTAACGGAAGCACAGCTTAGATACGCTATTGACCTCCATTGTGCCAGAAATCTGACCGAGCTGTCTACAACATGCCTCACAAAGAAGTAGTAAAAGAGAAGTATTTGAATACAAAGTTCAGAGTAGTCTCATGAATGGGGTGTGCCATCCATCAATGAGTGTCTGGACGAATGAGATAATCTAAATCTATAAACCCTCCACATTTAGGGCAAGCTTTCGCTGGTACCCTATAACCATTAGCTAAGACACCAAAAAGGTCTTTCTTCAAATTTATAACATAACACTTGAAAGCAGCCTCGCAGAGATACCTTCCGTTCTCTCTGGTTCAACAATGTCCCCGTTAAACAAAGCCTTGACATTGCGCAGTGGCCAAAATAACGGTCCTTGGTTCGCTCCAGGTTTTTACATCATAAATATAACAACATTATGAGTGAATGCAGTAAATCAGACACAAAGTCATCTTGCCTATAATATTACTAAATTAT